TATAATCACTGAATATATATATATGTATGTATATATATATATAAATACTTATTTCGCTCAAAACCAAATTCCTGATTTATTTCATGATGCAGCAAAAATGTATTATTATAGCAAGACTGAACGGTGTTGTATTTATGGTTTTCTCATTTATATCTCATGACTCGTGTCACTTTTCTTACAATGTTTTTTATCATAATCTACACTGTACCTTACCCATGATTCTCCGCAAAAGTTCATGATGCCTATCCACAGCAATGATTAGAAACCGATATATTTTGTTTATCAAGATGAAATTGTCATCTTGATTTTTATTTTGGGGAAAAAATAATAAAAGCACACCCATGACTTGATGAGATATTAATATTGACAATTTTAATTCCAATATTACCTGTGAACCTTAATGTAATGAGCCATTTATTAATGTTTTATAAACATGAATAACTTGTGAAAGTGAACCTTAATGTAAAGTGAACATCTGTGAACCATTTATTAATGAGTTATAAACTTTAATAATGTCTAAAAATGAACCTTAATGTAAAGTGAACATCTGTGAATCACTTATTGAGTTATAAATGTTAATAACCTGCAAAAGTGAACCTTAATGTCAAGTGATCACCTCTGAACCATTTATTAATTATCTATAAACGTTATTAACCTGTAAAAGTGAACCTTAATGTAAGGTGACACCTGTGAACCATTTATTAATGAATTATAAACGTTAGTAACCTGTGAAAGTGAACCTTAAAAGTGAACACCTGTGAACCATTTATTAATGAATTATAAACGTTAGTAACCTGTGAAAGTGAACCTTAAAAGTGAACACCTGTGAACCATTTATTAATGAATTATAAACGTTAGTAACCTGTGAAAGTGAACCTTAAAAGTGAACACCTGTGAACCATTTATTAATGAATTATAAACGTTAGTAACCTGTGAAAGTGAACCTTAAAAGTGAACACCTGTGAACCATTTATTAATGAGTTATTGACATCATTAACCCGTGAAAGTGAACTTTAAAGTAAAGTGGACACACTAATCATTTATTAATTATTAATGCACACACAGAAGGTTTTTTTTTTCTTGGTTAAATGTATTTTATTATTGATGCACTATATCAGTAAACAAAACTACTTAAAGATTTATTAATGAGCTATAAACGTTAATAACCTGCAAAAGTAAACTTTAATGTAAAGTGAACATCTGTGAACCATTTATTAATGAGTTATGGACATCATTAACCTGTGAAAGTGAACTTTAAAGTAAAGTGGACACACTAATCATTTATTAATTATTAATGCACACAGAGAAAGTTGTTTTTCTTGGTTAAATGTATTTTATTATTGATGCACTATTTCAGTAAACAAAACTACTTAAAGAACATTACTGAGCATAACTGCACATCGAAAGTGGCTTATACAAGTAAACTCACATTAAACAATTCAGAAACACAATAAAGTATTCCAACAAATTATAACTAAGCACCAACAAATATACATATTTATATTTTATCTAATTTAACAGTTTTGAGTAAATAATTAAATCAATGATTGAAAGCACAGTTACAGAACATCATATTAATAAGCAAACAGTAATTATTTTTTATATCATGATAAAGCCCACTGTAACTTCAGTATTTGTTCATCCACACTTGCAGTAACTAATGTTGTTTCTACATATTATTATAAGATGTAATATATAATGTATTTATGTAATGTCACATTTAGTTTTGTGTTTGTTTGCTTAGTGATTATTTTTTATATTATTGCATTCTGTTGTATTTTGTTCCTTTCTCCTTTTGTCTATTATAATCCTACAGTATAGTGAAAAAAAAGTGACGTGACATGTGGCTAAGTATGGTGACCCATACTCGGAATTAGTGCTCTGCATTTACCCATCCAAAGTGCACACACACAGCAGTGAACACACACAAACTGTGAACACACACCCGGAGCAGTGGGCAGCCCAGGGAGCAGTTGGGGGTTCAGTGCCTTGCTCAAGGGCACCTCAGTCGTGGTATTGAAGGTGGGAGAGAGCACTGTACATTCACTCCCCCCACCTACAATCCCTGCCGGTACGAGACTCAAACCCACAACCTTTGGGTTATGAGTCCGACTCTCTAACCATTAGGCCACGACTTCCCCAAATACTTAATTTAGTAATTTAGAGTAGTAGAGTTTTAGTATTTGGTTGTCTAAATTCGTTTTTAATGTGAATGGTTTGTTGTCCTACATTTCCCTGCGTTCAGTAATCTTCTTAATAAACATAGTACACAGCAAAATATCCAGTGTTGTTTAAAGTTGTTTTTATAGTGTTAATTTATCAGAGTTAAAAAGTGTTGATTCTGGTGTTGATTTGAATGGCATTAACACTTGCAGTGTAAATCAGTGGTCGGAGTCAGTGTAATTACAGCGAGTTGACATAATTGACACTGGTGATGAGTTGATCCAATTTCCGGTCCTTGCACGTTATTTCCTTTTTGATTAATGGCGGACGACCACGAGGAGAGGACAGTGTTCAAACAAGTATAATATTTTATAACCACTTAAATTGACAAATTTTCACGTTTAGTTTACGTTTCTCACCATTCAGAATAATATTAGTACATTTCTCAACATTGCCAGAGTGCTAACAGTATTTCTTTTTAGATAACGCGACAGACCACCGACAGATATCGAGTCCATTTAGCTGCACTACTTGTTAGCAAGCAAATTGAGGTAAGAATGGCATTGTTTGTTAGTTAGCAGTTTTAAACGTAAGATTTCTTATATTTTAGAATCTGGGGTAGATAACGGGCATTTCTGTGATTTGTGTAACTTGACTGTTTAATGAGTTAAATTAACGCAAATAACGCAGCATCCATATTCCCCTTCTTGGGGCTCACGTTATTTGTGTTGCCAAAATAAGACATTGTAATGCATTTTTGTCTCCAGTATTTTAGTATAACTGTGCATTGTTCCACAAATAATCTCTGACTGTTTAAGTGAGCAGCAATCAGTAACACGCGTTTTTTTTTTTACGTGGACCTTGAACGCACAGCTTCGGATGGTCCGAGGAATTTACATGAAATACATCGCGGTTACTCTCGTCTGCAAAGTAAAAGGCAGCGGAGATAAATTCAGATAATCAAGCAAGAAGCGTTTTGCTAAACTTATATTTTCTGCCAGCGTATGACTATGAACTAATATTTGCTCATTATATGAGACACGTGTTTGACGTGCGCGCGCTTCATCTGCAATAGTAGATACTTTAACTTACAATTAACTCGCTGCAATTTCACTTTAATGTAACGTTAACATTTGTGGGGTAACAAATGGAGCTTCTGACAAGCGGCTCGCTGGATTTTCTTTAATATTAACGTCATAATTCGCATTTTTCTTGACCAACAGCTTTCATGTTCATCAAGGCGTGAAGAAATTTGTAAAACTGCACAGCGATAGTAATTCATCTCCTGGCGCCTTAACTTTGTCGAGGAAGAACCCAAAATGTGTTGGCTTGGAGATGACTGAAAGTGGAGGACCAAGTCGACGAAGGATAGATGATGTGCAACAACTTGAAGGAGATGCATGCAGAGAGGTAACTTCTTTCATTGTCCATACAGCTGATGAAGCCGAAGTTATGCAAAAGATGAAGGAAACTTTCAAGCATAGACAATAGGGCTGCACGATAAATTGCATGCAATATTTAATGCGCATCTTGCCAGTAAAGCCGGTTCTGTAATCAGCGGTAAATCTCCATCACGTGCACAGAGGCTGGTGACAGACTTGTTCATTACCATAAGGTAAAACTAACAATACTGTTGCAAAGTCATTGTGAATGTTTAAATGCAGTGGTTTTCAATCATAGTCCTTGGGATTCACCCCTCTGCACATTTTGTTTCTCTGACCTGACACACTTAAGGGATAGTTCACCCAAAAATGAAAATTGTCATTTACTCTTTTCATCATTTACTGTTCCAAACCTCTATACATTTCTTTGTACTGCTGAATACAAAGGAAGATGTTTTGAAGAAAGCTTGTAAACTGGCTGCTTTGGGCAGCCATTGACTTCCATAGTAGGAAAAAAAAAATACTATGATAGTTAATGTCTGTACAAAGTGGCCTGTTTACAAACTTTCTTCAATTTCTTTGTTCAGCAGTACAAAAATGTATACAGGCTTGGAACAACCTGTGGGTAACAACCTTTTCTGTAAATTACAAAATTTTCATGTGAAAGCCCGCATGTGATGGAGATTTACCGCTGATTACAGAGCCAGCTTTACTAACAAGATGCGCATTAAATATCGTGCGATATTTATCGTGAAGCCCTAATAGACAAGAACTGGTACATAATCCTGAAAGATCAGCCGACGTCCTTGATGTGTTTCCAAGATATTTGGATGTAAAAGGATTGGCAAATAAAACATTCTTTGAAAAGGAGAATAAAGGTTTTAAGTGTGTTTTAGATATGCCTGCTTTTTGTTAAGTATCTTATAAGGTTACTCTTTGACATGATTGTTACTTGGACTCATTCGTTCATAGATTTATTTCTCTCGCTCGTACATGCCAGTGATAGATTTTGAAAGAATTCAAGTAAATACTTTAACTATGTTTGACTCAACATGCACACACTATCCATTTTGGTGGTAAAGGATGAAAAAGTAATCTCTTAGAAATCTTGTAAGATTGCACGTGTTCACTTGCATTATATTGACCTACAGCTCTCGGATGCCCACGTACAACTCTTTGTTTGTGTTCTAATGAAGTCAGTCAGTCACATAGCTTGATTTGACTGAGGGTGTATCAGCAATATTTATTAATTTTTTTTTTGTGGGGGTTTAAAATTAATTTAATGACGTTTTCCTTTCGCTGTAATACACAAAGCATGATATCAACTGGTTTTGTTTGGCACGTATTGGGTTAAGATGTGTTATATAGGTGTTAATTTTTAATTATGCATTTATCATTTCACATTGTAATTAGTGTTTTTTCTTTTTTCCTGGTTTATTTAATCTAATTTGTTTGCTGAAACATCCAACAAGCTTCTCGAGAGGTGGGAGGTGGCATTCAAGCAAAAGATCATCAATGAAGCCCAGTTTCTTACTTCAACAGCAGAAGTTCGGTGTCTTCTCAATGCAGCAGGTGGACAAGGATCTGAAAATGGTTGGCATGATTTGTGAGGATGTCAATTTCATATTTTTTCTCTGGTTTCTTGTTATTGGGAGCACTAAATGTTTGTTTTTTGTTTTATCCTAAATCGCCCACCACCCCCTAAACATCTACTCATTCAGATTGGGATGGTGACATGTCACATGACCTGCTGCTGTTGCATCTCCTGCCTTCTGCTCCAGGGAGGAAGAAGACTAAGATCAGTCCAGCAGAGGCTGGTGACAGACTTGTTCATTACCATAAGGTAAAACTAACAATACTGTTGCAAAGTCATTGTGAATGTTTAACATTGTAATTAGTGTTTTTTTTTTTTTTCCCCTGGTTTATTTAATCTAATTTGTTTGTGCTTTTTTCAGTCCTGCACCAGTATTGAAGGCCATCTCAGCAGGAGGAAGGGCCACCAGCCATTCCTACTGAGATCAGGAAGGATTAAGGGCAGGATCAACCACTTTTACGTCGTTGTGGACAAGCGCCTCATCCCTTGCGTTGGAACCAGCTCCTTGAGTGCCTTTGAACTTTTTAAAGTTCACTATATTCAACCTGTTCTACGAGGAAGCCCTGGTGTCAAAAGCCAACAGCTTGTTCTACAGGCCTTTTGAGCTGCAGTGTTTATATGGGTCAGATGATGGTGAATATAGTGTACCTTTTGTGTTGGTGTAATAGTTACATCTGTGTTAAAAATAACATTTCTAACTGATACAGCGTGTTGACTTTTTTAAATAAATTTTTTTATTACACCGAATGCACAGGAATTTTTAGTCGAATACAGATTACACTTAATTACCTTAATCAGGGTTTGTATGAACACTATATTAGTGTGGAAATAAGTCTCTTGGTGTTAAGATATTGACACACGTAGTGTAGTTTCAACACTAACTTGGTGTAAATGAGGGGGAGGGAAAACACTAATGGTGTTAACGGTGAACACTTACAGTGTTGTTTTTACTCTATGCAAGTGTAAAAAAAAGTTACACTATTTAAAGTGTTAGTTTAACTCTATTTAGTGTGGACCTATAGAAACCCTGAAAAAGTTAATTTTCTCACTGAGTGTTAATTTAACACTTTCAAATTTGCTGTGTAGGTACTGCTGCATCTGAATCCTGCTTCCTCACTGCCCTTCAATAAAATCTGTGACAGATACGGTTTTTTTAGAAGTATATAGCTACTATTACTAATAAAAATAATTTTCATTGCATATAGTGCATTTTTATTCTATTCTTTCAGGATCACATCACCAAAGTCTGTGTGTCTGTAGTTGCCTGTGTGTCACCAAAGCCTGTGAATAGCGCTAGCGAGCATCCGATGTAAAGTCACGTTTTCAAAGAAGAAGTCGTCACGCTGTTAGGATTGTTCTAACGTGCTCTGAAGCGTGCTCTCACATTGTGTTTATTAATTTTACTGCTCAGCTAACTGAGGTGACACTGCAGAGTATATTTTTCAAGTGTTTATATGTGTAATCGCGTTGTTAGTTGAATTAATTTGTTACCATACAAATAAATAATCGCTCTGGCGCTCCCGCGGACGTTTCGCTCGCGCGCAGTTAACGTTACTGCATGTGGATGAACAAATACTGAAGTTACAGTGGGCTTTATCATGATATCAAAAAGTAATTACTGTTTGCTTATTAATATGATAATGTTTTGTAATGGTGCTTTCAGTCATTGATTTAATTATTTTCTCAAAACTTAAATATTTAGGTGCCTTTATTCATTTTGCATTTATCAAATATTTTTGTTGTATAGATTTGATGCTTAGTTATAATGTGAGTTTACTTTTATAAGCCACTTTTTTGTGTGAAGTTATGCTCAGTAATGTTCCAGTGTGCTGTAAAAGAAAATATATATTTTTTTGTTTCAAGTTGAAAGTTGTTTGCTAATGTAGTGCAACAACAAAATTTATTTCACCAGAAAATACAAACTTTTTCAGTGTTTGCAATAATAATCAATCAATAAATAAATAAATAATTATTGTGTCCATTTTACATTAAAGTTCGCTTTCACAGGTTACTAACATTTATAGCTCATTAATAAATGGTTCACCGGTGTTCACTTTACATTAAGGTTCGCTTTCACAGGTTACTAACGTTTGTAACTCATTAATAAAGGGTTCACTTTACATTAAGGTTTGCTTTTGCAGGTTACTAACGTTTGTAATTCATTAATAACTGATTCACAGATGTTCACTTTACATTAAGGTTCACTTTTACAGATTTCTAACATTTGTAATTCATTAATAAATGGTTCACAGGTGTTCACTTTACATTAAGGTTCACTTTCACATGTTACTAACGTTTGTAACTCATTAATAAATGATTCACAGGTGTTCACTTTACATTAAGTTTCACTTTTACAGGTTACTAACGTTTATAGCTCATTAATAAATGGTTCACAGGTGTTCACTTTACATTAAGGTTCACTTTCACATGTTACTAACGTTTGTAGCCCATTAATAAATGATTCACAGGTGTTCACTTTACATTAAGGTTCACTTTTGCAGGTTATTAACGTTTATAGATCATTAATAAATGGTTCACAGATGTTCACGTTACATTAAGATGCACTTTCACACACTATGTTTATAAATAATTAATTAATGGTTCATTATATTAAAGTTCACAGGTAATATTGGAATTAAAATTTTCAATATTAATATCTCATCAAGTCATGGTTGTGCTTTTATGATTTTTCCTCCAAAATAAAAATCAAGATGATAATTTTATCTTGATAAACAAAATATATTGGTTTCTAATCACTGCTGTGGATAGGCATCATGAACTTTTGCGGAGAATCATGGGTAAATATGAATAGATTCTGGTAAGAAATATGTAAGAAAAGTGACACGAGTCATAAGATATAAATGAGAAAACCATAAATACAACACCCTTTAGTCTTGCCAAAATAGTAAATTTTTTGCTGCATCATAGTAATGTTACCAATTACATCAGTATCACAGAAGCTGCATCTTAAGTTTAATTTAGATGTATTTACACAATTAATGCTGCTCAGACAGCAGTAAATGCATTAACACAGCAACTGCATTATGGAATGAGATTAATGTTTTAAACAAAAACATTCTGAATAGCCGACAGAAATATGAAATGAGTGACAAAATGAAACAATTGGATACTTGAATTATGAAGGTTACATCAGCAGTAGGTGGCGGCAAGTCATTGTGTTGATGAATGAGTCATAGAGGAATCACGGACAGGCAAAAAAAGAAAGAATTGAAAGAAGCTCATGATTCACCAACAGGGCAATTGAGAGTGGTAAATGAAAAGCTCAAAAGTTTGGAGG